GAGTGACCCCTGAGTGACCACTGACCTCTGACCACTGAGTGACCGCTGCGTGACCGCTGCCCGCTGTCGCAGGTGCCCCTCCCCCAGCAGCCGCTGGCCGTCGCTGTGGTCACTCTGATGGCCGAAGTCGCCATCGCCGCGGCCGGAGGAGTCGCCCTGGGGGCTCACGCCGCCTTCTGCGGCCAGGAGTGACCACTGAGTGACCACTGACCACTGAGTGACCACTGACCGCTGGATTGGCCTCGGAGTGACCACTGAGTGACCACTGCATTGACCCATGGACTGGTCACTGAGTGACCCTTGGAGTGGCCCTGGAGTGACCACTGAGTGACCCCTCAAAGTGACCAGTGGATTGGCCTCGGAGTGACCACTGAGTGACCACTGCATTGACCCATGGACTGGTCACTGAGTGACCCTTGGAGTGGCCTTGGAGTGACCACTGAGTGACCCTTGGTCTGGTCACTGAGTGACCACAAAGTGACCATGGAGTGACCCTTGAGTGACCACGGAGTGACCACTGAGTGACCGCTGGATTGGCCTTGGAATGACCCCAGAGTGACCACGAAGTGACCACGGAGTGACCACTGAGTGACCCTGGAAATGACCATGGAGTGACCACGGAGTGACCACTGAGTGACCCTTCGGACTGGTCACTGAGTGACCACTGAGTGACCCTGGAAGTGACCATAGAGTGACCCCTCAAGGTGACCACAGAATGACCAGTGAGTGACCACTGCATTGCCCTTGAAGTGACCACTGAGTGACCACTGGATTGGCCTCGGAGTGACCACTGAGTGACCAGTGAGTGACCAGTGCATTGACCCATGGACTGGTCACTGAGTGACCACTGAGTGACCTTCAGAGAAACCCTGAAAGTGACCCTGGAGTGACCACTGAGTGACCCCAGAGTGACCCTTTGGTCTGGTCACTGAGTGACCACGGAGTGACCCCAGAGTGACCACTGAGTGACCCCTGAGTGACCGCTGGATTGGCCTCGGAGTGACCACGAAGTGACCACGGAGTGACCCTGGAAGTGACCACGGAGTGACCACTGAGTGACCACTGGAAGTGACCCTTGGGGCCTCGGAGGAGTGACCACAAAGTGACCACTGAGTGACCACTGAGTGACCACAGAGTGACCACTGGATTGGCCTCGGAGTGACCGCTGAGTGACCGCTGACCCCAACTGGGACATTTTCCATTAAAAAAGGGAAAACTTGGGTTAAATATTTCATTTTTTTGGATAAAAATGGGAGTTTTGGGGTCAAAATTGGGATTTTGAGGTAAAATTTGGGGATTTTGGGGTCAAAATTGGGAGTTTGGGGTAAAATTTGGGGATTTTGGGGTAAAATTTGGATTTTTTTTGAGGTAAAAATCAAATTTTTTGGGTGAAATTGGGGGTTTGGAGGTAAAAACTGGATTTTTTGGGGAGTAAAAGTTGGGTTTTTTGAGGTAAAAATTGGAATTTTTAGGTGAAATTGGAGATTTGGGGGTAAAAAGGGAAAATTTGGGGTAAAATTGGGGATTTTGAGGTAAAAATTGGAAATTTTTTGAGGTCAAAATGTCGATTTTGGAGGTAAAATTGGGGATTTTGGAGCTACATGGAATTTTTGGGGTTAAAACCGAGAATTTTGGGGGTAAATTTGGGGATTTTTGGGTAAAGTTGGGAATTTTGGGGTCAAATGTGAATTTTTGGAGGTGAAAATGTCGATTTTGGGGGTAGAAAATGGGAATTTGGGGAAGAAATTCGGCAGGAGGTAAAAAGCCCGATAATTCTGAGGTAAAAACTTGCGAATTCTGAGGTAAAAAATGAGGAATTTTTGGCAAAAAGGTCGATTTTTATTAAAAACGTTCAATTCTTGCCTAAAATTGCAAATTTCAGAGGTAAAATTTGACATTTCGGGGCAAAATCGGCCGATTTAGGGAGGGAAGAAAACGTTAATTTTGAGGTAAAAACTCGGGAATTCTGAGGTAAAAATCGCCGAATTTGAGACCAAACCACCCGGTTTTATTTAAAACGTTTAATTTTCACCCAGAAATGTAATTTTTGAGGGGTAAAAATCGGCATTTTTGGGTTAAAATCAGCCAAATTTGGGGAGGGAAAAACTCGGGAATTCTGAGGTAAAAAATCGGGAATTGTGAGGTAAAAACTGGCGAATTCTGAGGTAAAAATCGCCAAATTTCAGGGGAAAATGTCAATTATTGTTTAAAACATATGATTCTTATTCAAAATCGTGAAATTTGGAGGCAAAATCTGACATTTTCGGGTCAAAATCGACTGATTTGGGCGGTAAAAACCTCAGTAATTCTGAGGTAAAAACTCGCGAATTCTGAGGTAAAAATCGCTGAATTTGTGGAAAAAAAATGTGGATTGTTGTTCAAAATTTTGATTCTTACCAAAAATCGCGACTTTCGAAGCGCTTTTGGGGCAAAATCCGCCAATTTAGGAGAGAAAAACCCGATAATTCTGAGGTAAAAAACCGGGAATTCTGAGGTAAAAACTCGCGAATTCTGAGGTAAAAATCGCCGAGTTTTGAGGTAAAAATTGCCGAATTTGAGGCAGAAACATCAATTATTGTTTAAAACGTTCGATTCTTACCCAAAATCGCGACTTTCGAGGCGCTTTTGGGGCAAAATCCGCAGATTTGGGGTCCTCGGCACCTCCGGACTCGCTTTCCCAGCGTTCCCTGCGCGCCAAGCCGGAAAAAGGGCGGGAATCGGGGGAGGAAGTGACGCAAACCCCGGGGAATTGTGAGGTAAAAACTCGCGAATTCTGAGGTAAAAAGTGCCGAATTTGAGGAAAAAAATTTTTTTTAATTAAAAATTATTATATTTTCGCCCAGAAATGTGAATGTCGGGGGTAAAATCCGACATTTTTGGGTCCGAATCGGCCGGGTGGTAAAAACACGATTATTGTGAGGAAAAAACTCGCGAATTCTGAGGAATTTGAGGTAAAAAAGTAAATTTTTATTAAAAATATTTGATTTCCACCCAGAAACTTGAATTTCGGAGGTAAAATCCGACATTTTCGAGTCCAAATTGGCCGGTTTGGGAGGTTAAAATACTGATAATTCTGAGGTGAAACATGAATTGTGAGGTAAAAACTCGTGAATTTTGAGGTGAAAATCTCCGAATTTGTGGGGAAAAAATATTTTTATTAAAAATATAGAGTTTCTACCCAGAAACGTGAATTTTGGGGGTAAAATCTGACATTTTTGGGTCCAAATCCGTTACTTTGGGAGGTTAAAATACTGATAATTCTGAGGTGAAACATGAATTGTGAGATAAAAACTCGTGAATTCTGAGGTAAAAACCACCGAGTTTGAGGGGAAAAAAATTTTTTATTAAAAATATTGAATTTCTACCCAGAAATGTGAATTTTGGAGGTAAAATCCGACATTTTTTTATCCAAATTTGTCGCTTTGGAGGTTAAAATACTGATAATTCTGAGGTGAAACATGAATTGTGAGGTAAAAACTCGCGAATTCTGAGGTAAAAACCACCGAATTTGAGGGGGAAAAAATTTTTTATTAAAAATATTGAATTTCTACCCAGAAATGTGAATTTTGGAGGATAAAATCCGACATTTTTGGGGCCAAATCGGCCGGTTTGGGTGGTAAAAATGAGGTGAAAATCTCCGATTTTGTGGGGAAAAAATTTTTTTATTAAAAATATTGAATTTCTACCCAGAAATGTGAATTTTGGAGGATAAAATCCGACATTTTTGGGTCCGAATCGGCCGGTTTGGGAGGTAAAAACCCGATAATTTTAAGGGGAAAACTCGCAAATTCTGAGGTAAAAACTTTTGAATTTGAGGTGTGAATTTTGGAGGATAAAATCCGACATTTTTGGGGCCAAATCGGCCGGTTTGGGTGGTAAAAACCCGGTAATTTTGAGGGGAAAAACTCGTGAATACTGAGGTAAAAACCTCTGATTTTGAGACCAAAAAAGTCGATTTTTAATAAAAATATTGAATTTCTACCCAAAAAGGTGAATTTGAGGGTGAAAATTCCGGCATTTCTGGGTAAAAATCAGCCGATTTAGGTGGAAACATCGGTAGTTCTGAGGTGAAAAATCGTCCATTCTGAGGTAAAACCTCGCAAATTCTGAGGCAAAAACCGCCGAATTTGTGGCAGAACTGTCGATTATTGTTCAAAACGTTCGATTCTTCCCCAAAATTCCGAATTTCGGAGATAAAATCTGACATTTTTGGGTCACAATCGGGCGATTTAGAGGAGAAAAAAACCCCGATAATTGTGAGGGGGAAACCCGCGAATTCTGAAGGAAAAGCCTTCGAATCTCAGGTTAAAAAGTAGAATTTTTTTAAAAAAAATTATTTAAAACGTTCTATTCTCACCCAAACCGCGACTTTTTGAGGCGAAATCCTCCGATTTCGGCTATTTGCCACTTCCGGACTCGCTTTCCCAGCGTCCCCCGCGCGCCTTACCCGGAAAAGGGCGGGCTAGGGAGCGGAAGTGACGTCGCGTTACTTCCTCTTCGGCCTTTCGGCGTTTCCGTACCGGCGGCTCCGCGTGCGGCGCGTTCTTTGTGAATTTTTTGGGAATTTTTTTGAGGAATTTTGGGGGTTTTGTGACTTTCCAGGACCTTCTTTGAGGGGAATTTTGGGAATCCTGAGGGAAAATTGGGGGATTTTGGACCGGAATTGTTGATTTGGGGTTGAAATTTGGGATTTCCCGTCTGAATGTTGCTTTAAAACCCCAAATTATCGCCTTAAACCCCTCAGAATTTGGGTGAAACCCCTCAAATTTTGGGTTAGGCCCCTGAGGTGTTGGGTGAAATTTGGGGTGAAAGCGCTGAAATTTGGGGTGAAAACTCTCGAATTTTGGGGGTTTTTTTGCCGGTTGTGTCTCGCCAGGCTGCCCCTCCCTCTGTCGGTGCCGCCCCTCCCCCTGTGTCGCGATAATGTCGCGATTTTTCACCACCGGTTCCGACTCCGAGTCCGAGTCGTCGGCGTCGGGAGACGAAACCGCGCCCAAGGCGGCGGGGGGACCCTACAGCAAGTGGGCGGGGCGAAGGGAAAGGGGCGGGGCTAAAGGGAAAAGGGGAGGGGTTAATGGGGTGGGGTTAAATGGAGAGGGGTGGGGTTAAAGGAAAAGGGGAGTGGTTTAAGGGAAATGGGGAGGAGTTAAAGGGAAGGGATTGGAGGGAATGGGAGGGATTAAAGGGAAAAGGGGAGTGGTTTAAAGGAAAAGGGGAGGGCTCAAAGGGAAAGGGGAGGAGTTAAAGGAAAATGGGGTTATAAGGAATGGGAGGGGTTAAAGGGAAAAGGGGAGGGGTTAAATTGAAAGGGGAGGGGTTTAAGAAAAAGGGGAGGGGTTTAAGGGAAATGGGGTGGGCTTAAAGGGAAAGGGGAGGGGTTAAAGGGAAAGGGGAGAGGTTAAATGGAAAATGGGAGGGGTTTAAGGGAAAGGGGTGGGGCTGAAGAGCTGGAGGAGGAGTTAAAGGGATGGGGAGGAGCTTGAAGGGAGTGGAGGCGGTGCTAAAGGAAATGGGAGGGGTTACTGGGAAAAGAGGAGGGGTTAAAGTCTGGGAAAAGGGCAGGGCTAAAGGAAAGGGGTGGGGCTAAAGGAAAGGGGAGGGGCTAAAAGGGAATGGGCAGGGCTAAAGGGAAAGGGGAGGAGCTTAATGGGCTGTGGGAGGGGTTTAAAGAGAAAGGGGAGGGGTTAAAGAGTAGGGGAGGAGCTTAGATGGGAGAGGGAGGAGTTTCAGTGAAAGGGGCGGGGTTTAAGAGAAAGGGGCGGGGTTTAAGAGAAAGGGGCGGGGCTAAGGGGTCCTGGCCCCGCCCCCAGGCCGCTGCTGCTCAGTGAGGATGAGGAGGACACGAAGCGCGTGGTGAGGAGCGCCCGCGACAAGAGGTGAGCGGTGATCGGGTATTGATCGGGTATTGATCGGGTATTGATTGGTTATTAACCCATTAGCGATCAGTTGTTGATTGGTTATTAACCCATTAGTGATCAGTTATTGATTGGTTATTAATCCATTAGTGATCCGTTATTGATTGGTTATTAATCCATTAGTGATCCGTTATTGATTGGTTATTAATCAGTGATTGATCGTCTGTTGATTGGCTGTTGGTGGGTTGTTGATCAGTTGTTGGTCAGTTATTGATTGGTTATTAACCCATTAGTGATCAGTTATTGATCAGTTATTGATTGGTTATTAATTGGTGGTTGATCATCTGTTGATTGGCTGTTGATGGGTTGTTGATCAGTTGTTGGTCAGTTATTGATTGGTTATTGATTGGTTATTAATCAGTGATTGATCATCTGTTCATCAGGTGTTGATCGCTAATTGATTGGTTATTGATCACTTTTTGATCATCTATTGATCTGGTATTGATTGTCCCGATTGAGTAATCAGTTGGGTATTGATTGATCAGGTCCTGATCATTATTGGTCACCTATTGATTGATTATCGATTGGTTATTGACCAGCTGGTGATTGGTTATTGGTCATCCTGTTGACCAGTTATTGATTCCTTATTGATTGGCTGTTGATGGTTTATTGATCAGCTGTTGGTGGGTTATTGGTTGTCTATTGATCAGTTATTGGTTACCTATTGATTGGCTGGTTATTTGCTATTGGCCAGGTATTGATGAGCTATTGATCAGTTATTGATTGTCTATTGATTGTTCATTGATCCTAATGGCTCCGAGTTGATCCCTATTGATCCTGATCAATCCCTATTGATGCCAATAATTCCAAACGGCCACAAATGAATTCCTATTGATCCCTATTGGTTCTTATTGGTTTGGTTTCTGTTGATCCCAATAACCCCAACTGATCCCTATTGATCCCAATCAATCCCTACTGATCCCAATCAACCCCAATTGATCCCTGTTGATTCTGATCAATCCCTATTGATGCCAATAATTCCAAACGGCCACAAATTGATTCGTATTGATCCCTATTGGTTCTTATTGATCCCTATTGGTTGTTATTGGTTTGGTTTCTGTTGATCCCAATGGCTTCAAACCAATCCCTATTGATCCTAATTGATCCTGATCAATCCCTATCGATCCCAATCAACCCCAATTGATCCCTATTGATCCTGATCAACCTTATTGATGCCAATAATTCCAAACAGCCACAAATTAATTCCTATTGATCTCTATTGGTTCTT